TACCCTCCCGCCGCCTCAGGCCAGGCTGGGGGCGACCTGCCCGCGATATGGATGCGGTAAGTGCAGGGGACACTGCAGCTGCCCTGAGGAATATTCTTCCAGGTAACCCAGTCAAGCCACCCATCGACCTTTTTTTTTTTTTCCCCCCTGGATGACCCATATCCAGCTTTGTCCTGGACAAACCTAGTTATTTTACTTCACAACACTAAACCTTGTCAAAAACAGACTTCACCACATTAAACTTCCTCTGGTTTATCATCAAATATTCAACAAAGTTAAATCCCTGCCTGGAATGTATAAATACCGAACAGCAGGCTAGATTGTTGTGGTCATACAAAAGCTAAATCAACAGGAATGTGTAAAGGGCAACTGTTGTTATGGTGTATTTCAATGGCTTTCAGGGTTCCTCACAGTGTTATTAGAATTGGTTGACAAGGGACAACTCGGATAAACAGAAGGGAAAGAATTTGACCTCAGTCACTCCACAGGTGAGGAACTGGGGTTTCCACAGATCCTCCCACTCCTCCTTAAGCACCAAACTCCGCATGTCGGGGTACCCTCGAGGTAAATGCAAAACCATCAGCTCTGGAAGCTTTTGCTAAATTTATAGCATTAGCTCTTGGGGAGGGGGGAGGAAATGCAGAAGAGCAGAAAGACCTGAGAAGGGATGAAGGAAGTGACTGAGCAAGTTACAGGAGTAGGTTAGAAGATGTCAGACAGAAAAACAGGCTCATCATTCACCATTTCTAATAGGGTGGTGGGAGGAATTTGAAAAAAAAAAAATAGCATCTGGAAGCCGTCTTAAAAAAATTATGTATTCATTTCAGATTTTTTGAAGGGGGGAAAAAGTTGTCTGAATACATTTTAAATGTCACAGATTTGTGGATGGACAGACTACTGTCCCTCAGGTCCCACACTGAGACAGAGAGCCAGAACGTTCCATCAGCAGAGAAGTAATGGCAGAACCACCAAGAGCAGCCACTGTGTGTTCGCAGCAGCGGTAATCCCCAAAACCCTGACAGGTGCACAATTACTACAGAAGCTTAGCAGAGCTTATCTCCTCTGTAGCGTGAAGTATGTTGTGAAACATACTTCACACAACTGACATGCCAAACCTTTCAATGAAATACTATAAAAAGCTTATTATGATATTTCCTCAACAAAAATGAGCATGAATTTTACATTTAATATTAAAATGATGACTGTGTAAAACAGTTCCAAAACCTAGTGATTTATTACAGATGTTTTTAATACATTATAGTAGTGTTAAAGATACAATTAAAAATATTAACCTTTTCTATATAGAATTTAACTATGTTAGTGTTTTTATTAAGAAAATGAAACTGGTCACAAAATTTAATGTTCAATTTTTTAAAAAAATCCTGTTTTAATACAACTCAGTTGGTAAAAAGATTTCCACAAGCTGTTAACAAAACATTAAAAACCTTAAATGCAAAAATCCCTAAGTGATTTAAGTGAAAATAACATGAACTTCTTTCAAATAACAATTAAAGCTCCTCCTTCTCAACAGTGTTCCTCACTGCTCTATCCTTTCCAGATTCCTTTTTTCTCTCTAGCTTTTTCTTGAACCATTGCTCAAAGTACTTTTCTTCTGTAACCCTTTCTCTCTCCTGCTCTTCCTCAGTCTGCTTTATGTTCATCTCCTTTTCAGGACCCAAATATTAAGATTTCATTTTTAATGCACCAATAGGTTCTTGATCAGATTAGACAGGGGAGTTTTAAGATGTGGTAATAAAGAATCAAAACAGACAGAAGAATTTTGCGTTACCTTCATTTCTCCCCAGGTTTCGTCTCTAAAGTCTTCTGCATAAACCTCATCATCTTTTATCAAGAAGTTGTTAAAAATTGTGCTAGCTCTCACCTTTGAAGGAATAGGGGAAAAAAACAAGGATGCCTCTTTGTTTTCTTTAGAGTTTTTTTTTAACAATATGTTTGTATCATACATTCAGTATACAGTGATCACGTTAAGAACCCCACAGATTTTTGCAAAATTTGATGAAGAATTCTCTTTTTAGACAACTGTTTTCAAGAATCTAAAGAACTTGTTTTAACTTGAGGCACTTCACTGATCATCTTAGAAGTTTTAAGTCTCATCGCTGGCTAGCCAAGACACCTGAGAGAGAGGAAGATCTCAGAGGCACCCCAGAGGGCAGTCTTCTCATTAATTTTTGGGTAAGTCAGGAGTGACTGAGCTGCTTGAAGCCTCAAGTTATGCACCTCAAGGCAGGTGGAGTAAGGCACACTTTACAATACTTACACAAATTAGTTTAGGCCCCTCACCTGTAGATGATCATCATCCAAACGATAACTACAACAGAAGATCAGTGCATGTTACAAATTTTTCAATTTTGTACACATATTTACATAAGAGCAAGTTAAAGCCGTAAGTCCCTGAGAGCCTAAAGCAATAGATAATGTTTATATGCAGAGGGTTAAACAGGTTGCTGTATACTCAGTGAGAAAAGAGTTCTTTATTTTCCAGTAAAGGTGCCTCACCTGCTATGTATCTAGTTCAATTATGCTAATATTTCCAGAGCTGTAGATACTGAAGTCTGCCAAGTAATTTGGATTGTCAGTCTGTGGATGAAGCTGAACTCCTCTATCAACCTGCCTTGGTTTCCATTCCCCCAGGATAAACCACACATTCTGAATACAGCCAGGCAAAGAAGAGTTGCTTAAAGTGTTATCCACAACTAGCATTATGAGATTATTTACACTCCGTATAGAGGATTCTTGGCCATAGGATAATGCCATTCTCCATTCACAGCATCATCCCAATCTTCAGGTTTCTCAGGCTAGTGTCCTTGATGTATTCAGGTTCATCCCAATCCTTTAAAGAGACACAAGATGAAGAAAGCAAAACTAGTGCACAGTTCAACTACAAACATGTATTCAGTAGGAATGAAAAAACCCAATAATGCAGAATAAGGAGAGCCCGTTACCTCAGGTTTTATGTAATTTGGATTCAGTCATCCCAATCAGTGGGTTTCCTCACTGTTGGATCACGAGTTTTCCTCAGTGTCAAAAATTGCAAATCATCTTCTAAGTTACCAGATGCAGCTATTTCATTATCAATTTTTACTTCATAAGTCTGATCTGGCCTTATAATCAAAGTATATAGATGTGTATATACATCAACCCACATTTTAAAGAAAGCATCTGATTGGTTTCTTGAGTGGATGGGGTTTATTCTTGTAATTTAATATAACGTGGACTTTCTTTGTCTCAGATCCACAAATATCTAGCTCTACAACATGATGATATGATTTGTATCCTTAACTTCTTTGCAGAAAAATATATTATTTACCTTTCCCTTATAACACTGCTAGACATCTCTCCCATTCCATTGATGTATTCCATTCCATTTGTAATGGATAACATGGCTTCTGCTCCATTCTCTAAATCTACCTTAGAATTAGATTTTGTGTAGTTTGGGGTTTAGTTCTGTTACAGAACTAAACCCAGAAAACTAACTCCAAAAACAAAAATCCAGACAAACCAGAAACTCTCTAGCACAAGCTAAATACCTATATAATTATATTAGATACACAATGACAAATTTCACTTCAACATTCAAATGTACAATTTTCATTAAGTCACTGGAAACTACATCCAAGTGTATAAGGGCAGATAAAAAAATTCTGCTGAACAACTACTTTTATTCTAAACTCAGTCTAATAATTTTCAGTTATGTCCTTCAAATCAGCTCAGAAAGATTGCATAAACATGTATCTTGTTAATACCCATTTAGCAATCTCTCAAGCACAGAACAGCCAACTCCTTATGGCCACAACATCCTCATTTTTTTAAGACAGCCTTCCTTCATGTATTTTCTACCATTTCCACAACCGCCTTTGCAGAGCTGCACGAGAGCAGTGGCAGTATTGCAGTGATGAAGACACAAACTCACCAAACGTGACGTAGCGACGCCAATACCCGCTGGGGTTCCTCCGACCCGGGCTTGAGGCCCAGAGCCGCGCGCTGGGACTTATACTCGGCGCTCTCGGGGGCGGGAGGCAGTATGCCTCCTTGCGATTGGCTCCGCGGCGGAGGGGGGGGCTCTGCGCGGAGCCAATGAGGGGGCAGGATGTTGGGGAGTCGCGGTCTCCGGGATACGACGGGGCGCCGGCTGCTCTGGCCCCGGCCTGGAGGAGTTGCCGCCCGCCCCGTGCGCTCCGCCCCGGG